GATGGATGGATGGATGGATGGATGGACAGACAAATGGACGGATGGATGGAAAGATGGACGGTTGGATGGATGGACAGACAGATAGCCGGATGGATTTATGAATGGATGGATGGATGGATGGATGGATGGATGGATGGATGGATGGATGGATGGATAGATAGATGGATGGATAGATAGATAGATAGATGGATAGATAGATAGATAGATAGATGATAGATAGATAGATAGATAGACATTTTTGCAGCTTTATCATGTGAAGTTTCAATCAATCCATCAATATAGTTATATCAATATATATAGTTAATCAAGACCATTTGTTAATCTTTCAGTACTTTTTCTGTTATATATGTATTACATGTTATACAATAAATTGTTTCAAACTACTGTAAAAGCCTATTTCAGTTAGTTTTTTAACCTGCAGAGTTATTTTTTAAATGTCAGAATTGGTTGGAGCAATAATTAAGATTCTATAATGCAATTTAAAACTGTATAATTGGAGAACATCCATAGAGCAACTGTTAATTAATCAATATATTTACCAGCAAAGCATAGTCACACTGCTCATTTTGCCCCTTAGACTTCCATTCAATCGCATGCGAAAGCAACAAACTGGAAACCAAGCTTGTGCGACAAGTTTCGTAGTTCACTGCATTTGAAGGTTCAAGCTTGGTGAACTCTGACCTGTGAAATTGCATCACTTGACTTCGCAAAACTAATCGAAAATCAAAACATGACCTCTCTGTACAGAAATTTTAAAATATGGACACAATTTTGCATCTACAAACTTTAGTGTGACCACAGCATTACCCAGTTATGAGTTAATTGGTTAAGTGGATAATTGAAGTACAACTTTTAACATGTTGTTGTTATTTGTGGTTGACTGAAGTAATAGATTCAATTTAGGTATTTGCCTTAAAAGGCAACATTGATCCAATTCGTATTTGATTTATTGACTTTATATTGTCCCTGAAGTGGGGGCGAATATTGCCTAATTAAAAAGTTAAGTTTAATCCACAATGAATCTTTAAAGCTAAGTAACATTTTCAATAAATAATTATAAATAACCTCATGTTTACAATGTCTACATGAAAGCATTGTACATCGTGATCATCCTCTGATCAAATCCAGTCTATCAAGTTACCATGCCAAACATTGAATAACATCAGTAATGGCAACATGTTACCTGCCTCAAAAGCCTCTCCAGGCTGAAACTGTTACAAAATGTTCCCGGCTCATTCACCACAGCAACAAGAGGTGTCAGCAGGAACACAATAGGTGGCATACGTGATTGCCTGCGTTTGAAGGGATTGATTTC